TATATTTAAATATATAAATTATATTTAAAAATTTTATAATTAAATAAATATTTTAAATATTACAATTTAATATATAAATAAATATAATAAATAAAAAATTGAATTAAATAAAAAATTATAAAAATTTCTAAAAATAATTATGACGAATAATAGTTCTTAAAAATACTCTTGCATAAAATGATCATTTGTGCTTAGTTTATAGAGATTAATTTGATCTGTAAATAAATATGATGAATAAATAATTTAATAAAATAAGAAGTTGAAATAATCCTTAAAAGTGTTTTGTTCAAAGAATAGTATTTGAAAGTGCAATACAATCATTTATATTTAATATATGAAAATTAATTTAAATATTTTCTATAATTCCAATTCCTAAAACTAAAGGTATAAACAATAAATAATTAAACACACATTTATCAAAAAAGAAAAAAAAATTAAGCATACATTTATTTGAGATTTCGGGCTATCTCTAAAGGCAGATACACACCTAAAAAAAAAAAAAAAAATTCAACAATGACAGTAATTACCAAGAAATTTACAAAGACTAAAAAGTAAAAATTTGCATGTTAAGATCTGAGTTGCGGTGAGGTCATAATTTAAAAAATAAAAAAAATATATAAATATTAGAAATAAAGGAAGAAAGAATAAGTGTAAGATGATAAGAAAAATACTTCAATAATATATTATCCTGCCTTACGCTATAATACCTCAATTTTATATTTGACTTGTGTATCCCATTTAGCAAGAGTTTCAGACTCAGTCTTGTGATCCAATTTGCAAAACAATAGAAGAAATGGCCTTAGCTATGGTGGGAGAGGCACTTATCTCTGCCTCTGTGGATATCTTATTAAAAAGGATAGCTTCGAGAGAGTTTCGAGATTTCTTCTCCACCAGAAAGCTTAATGTTTCTGTGTTGGACGAGTTGAAGATAAAGCTCTTGGCACTTAACGCTGTGCTCAATGATGCTGAGGAGAAGCAGGTCACTGATCTTGCAGTGAAGGCATGGCTTGATGAGTTGAAAGAGGTTGTCTTAGATGCTGAGGACTTGTTGGATGAAATCAACACAGATGCTCTAAGATGCAAGTTGGAGGGAGATTCTAAAACATTTGCTACCAAGGTCAGATCCTTGTTTTCTTCTCGCTTTAAAGGTCTCTATAAGAGCATGAATTCCGAGCTTGAAGCAATATCCGGAAGGCTAGAACATTTTGTGAGACAAAAAGATATTCTTGGCTTGCAAAGTGTTACTAGGAAAGTCTCTTATAGAAAAGTTACAGATTCGTTGATTGAATCTGTTGTGATTGCTAGAGAGGATGACAAGGAGAAGCTACTGAACATGCTTCTATCTGATGATGATGTCATCACTAATGATATGGAAGTGATCACAATATTGGGTATGGGGGGTCTTGGAAAAACAACCCTCGTTCAGTCTCTTTATAATGATAGTGGAGTGAGGAAGCATTTTGATTTGGCAGCTTGGGCATGGGTTTCAGATGATTTTGATGTTCTCAAGGTGACAAAGATGATTGTTGAGTCTCTCACCTTGAAAGATTGCCATCATATTACTAATCTTGACCTTCTTCGTGTTGAATTAAAGAACAGTTTAAGAGATAAGAAATTTTTGCTTGTGCTTGATGACCTTTGGAATGAAAAGTATAATGATTGGCATCATCTAGTAGCACCATTTAGTGGTGGGAAAAAGGGAAGTAAGATCATCGTGACAACTCGACAACAAAGAGTTGCACAGGTGACACATACCTTTCCCATTTATGAGCTGAAACCTCTTACTGATGAAAATTGTTGGCACATACTATCTAGGCATGCATTTGGAAATGAAGGTTATGAGAAATATCCAAACTTGGAAGAAATTGGTAGGAAACTTGCAAGAAAATGCAATGGACTGCCATTGGCTGCTAAAACGCTGGGAGGTCTTTTGCGATCAAATGTTGATGTTGGGGAATGGAATAGAATTCTGAACAGTAAATTGTGGGCACATGATGATGTTTTACCAGCTTTACGCATAAGTTATCTTCATCTTCCGGCACATTTGAAGAGATGTTTTGCCTATTGCTCAATGTTTCCGAAGCAACATTTGTTGGATAGGAAAGAAATGATTTTGTTATGGATGGCTGAAGGTTTTCTTCAACATATCCATGAAGATAAAGCAATGGAATTGGAATCAGCAGGTGAGGATTGCTTTAACGAATTATTATCTAGATCCTTAATTCAAAAAGACAATGCTATTGCAGAGGAAAAATTTCAAATGCATGACCTCATCTATGATTTAGCCAGACTTGTATCTGGAAAAAGTTCCTATAACTTTGAAGGAAGTGGGATTCCAAAAACGGTTCGCCATTTATCATTTATTAGAGAGATGTTTGATGTCTCCAAAAAGTTTGAGGGTTTGTATGAGCTGAAGTGTTTGCGAACTTTTCTACCACAATTGGGATATCCATTTGAAGAATGTTACTTGACCAAAACGGTATCACATGGTTGGTTGCCAAAACTAAGATGCTTGCGAATATTGTCGTTGTCTAACTACAAAAATATCACAGAGCTACCCGATTCAATTGGCAATTTGTTGCTCTTGAGATATTTGGATCTTTCCTACACTTCCATCGAAAGCTTACCCAATGAAACATTTATGCTTTACAATTTGCAAAGTTTGATATTATCTAATTGTGAATTTCTTATTCAATTGCCACAACAGATAGGAAATCTGGTTAATTTGCGCCACCTTGACATCAGTGGCACTAATTTACTTGAGATGCCGGCACAAATCTGTAGACTACAAGCTCTTCATACTTTGACAGTTTTTATTGTTGGAAGACCAGGTGGATTAACTATTAAAGATTTAAGAAATTTTCCTTGTCTGCAGGGTAAGCTTGCCATTTTTAACCTACAAAATGTTGTTAATCCAATGGATGCATCTCGGGCCAATTTAAAGAACAAAGAGCAAATTGAGGATCTTATGCTGGAATGGAGCAGTGATCCACATGATCCACAAATTGAAAAAGATGTACTTGACAATTTGCAGCCATCAACTAATTTAAAGAAACTCAACATTAAATATTATGGTGGTACTTCATTTCCAAATTGGATTGGAGATTCTTCATTTTCAAACATCACAGTCCTTGGTATCAGTGATTGCAACCATTGCTTGTCACTTCCGCCATTTGGACAACTACCTTCCCTCAAGGAGCTTGTCATCAAAAGGATGAAAATGGTGAAGACAGTTGGTTATGAGTTCTATTGCAGCAACGAAGGCTCCCGGTTGTTTCAGCCATTTCCATCATTGGAGAATCTGGAATTTGAGGATATGTCTGAGTGGCAGGAGTGGCTACCATTTGAAGGTGAAGGAAGCAACGCTCCTTTTCCTTGTCTTAAACGCTTGCATTTATATATGTGCCCCAAGCTGAGAGGAATCTTGCCCAATTGTCTACCTTCACTGACAGAGGTTAGTTTCTCAGAGTGCAACCAGCTAGAGGTAAAATCATCTGATTTGCACTGGAATACATCAATGGATGTAATAAATATTAGAGAGGGACAAGAAGGCTTGTTGTCTATGCTTGACAACTTCTCTTATAGTGAACTATTGATTGAAAAGTGTGATAGTTTGCAGTCTGTGCCTAGAATAATACTCGTTGCAAATTGTCTTGGAAAGTTAACTCTTTCTAATATCCCATCTTTGATTTCCTTCCCAGCTGATGGTTTACCCACATCATTGAGATCACTGAGCATTTGGAATTGCAGAAAGTTAGAATTTCTATCTCATGATACATGGCACAAATTTAAATCACTTGAAAAACTAAGAATATGGAATAGTTGTCGTTCCCTGACATTCCTTTCGTTAGGTTGTTTCCCTGCCCTTCAAGAACTTTATATCCGTTTTATTCCAAACTTGGAAGCAATTACTACTCAAGGTGGAGAGGCGGCTCCTAAATTAGTTGATTTTATTGTCACTGATTGTGAGAAACTTAGATCATTACCAGATCAGATTGATCTCCCTGCCCTTGAACACTTGGACCTTTCTGCACTTCCGAAGCTAGCATCATTGTCCCCAAAGTGTTTGCCTTCCAATTTACGATCACTTTTTGTTGATGTTGGAATACTTTCATCTATGTCTAAACAAGAGTTAGGTTTGGTATTCCAAAGCCTCACTTCTCTGTCACATCTTTTATTTAAGGGTCTTAATGATAATGATCTTATTAACACTCTTCTGAAGGAGCAATTACTGCCTACTTCTCTCAAAATTCTGATCCTACACAGTTTTGATGGATTAAAGTTGTTGGAAGGAAAAGGGCTTCAAAATCTCACTTCTCTCCAACAGATGTACATGTACAATTGTCCAAGCTTTGAGTCCTTACCTGAAAATCAGCTGCCATCCTCTCTTGTAGTACTCAGTATGCGGGAGTGTCCTTTACTGGAAGCAAGGTATCAAAGTCAGAACGGGAAATACTGGTCTAAGATTGCTCACATTCCTGCAATCAAGATAAATGAAAAAGTGATAATATGAGCTATTGCATAAATAAGAATCATCTAAAGGTAAATACAGTCTTCCATTATTTTAAATTAGTATGATGTTAATGTTATGTCATTTTCATTTTTATTTCTTGCACTCCAAGAGAAAGAAAATTTCAAGTCAAACTTACAGTTGAGTTAACCAGGTTGATAATTTCAACCAGTTTCGATTGTTTATGCCAACTGATATAGGTTCAATTTATTTTTGAAAAAAAAACTGGAATGAGTTCAATTTGGATGGGAATGATGACGTATTTCCATGTTAATAATTGAAAAGTCAAACTATCAAATTTTGTGAATTGTCAAGAGTTTAGGACTAGCTGGTGGATCCTAAAACCACTGTATAATTTTTTGAAGATTCAATCAGGGAAGGCGTACTTACATAAAATGGTGGTGTGCTTACGTAAAATGGTGCACATGTTACTATGTCTCAAATTGAAGTATCAAAGATTCTTTTTTACTTGTATTGCTGTTGGTTAGTCTAAAGTATAAAATGATAATACATTAACTTCAAATTTGTTTTTATTTGTTAAATAGACCCTTTGAAAGAAGCATTCTAATATGTTTAATTGGAGATTTCTAAAGTACTACTGTAGCGCCTGATTAGAAATGTGAGATAAATAAAGTCTCAGTTCATAAATTGGAAGAAAGAAGCACGCAGGGTAGATTCTTATCCTTATTGAGTAGATTGCATAAATCATTTGCGAGAAGGGTGGAAAAATGACAGACTCTGATGCATTCAATGTTGGGAGTTACATGGTTGTTTCCTTCTTTTATCAGTGACTTGGTGTTTATTGGCATATTTTTCTGTCTTACTTCACAATTCTTTGATAGTTGATTCTTGATAGTGTTAGTAAATGGTATAGAGTACTGTGAAATAGATTGAGCAAATGTTAATGGAGAAAAGAAAAATGCTGTGATATGGTATAGTTTGTGTTATATATATATATATATATATATATATATATATTAATTTAGACACTGCATCAATGTCTCTATTTAGAAACACATGGGATTTTATTTGAGGAAATGGATTGTTGTCTCTGCAGTCTGCAAGAATTTAAAAACCTTTTGTTATAGTATATAGTTGTCTCTTTCTGAACTGATCTATTCACTTGAACTTGAAAAATTGGTTAGAAATGACATGGTTTTGTTTTCTAATGATTACAGTTGGTAGCTGAGATGAGACATACAGTGGGACTCATATTTCTTTGTATTTGCTTGCTGAGATGGTACCAAGCTCAACATTTCCTCTATAACACTGGTAATTGGTTAAACTAAACCTGTAATGTGTTAAGGTTATTGTCATGTTAGATGGTTTTCTTGTGGTGAACTATTTGTAAAATCAGAATGTATTGGTTTATATTTATATAAGAGTTAATCACCTATACACTGCCAGTATAAAATTTTTTTACATTAGCAACCAATTATATCTTTTAATTGTGTCATGTCACTATAAACACATTTACTTTTAACAATGACATGGCATAATTAAAAGATATAATTGGTTGCTAGTGTAAAAAAACTTTACACTAGCATTGTATGGGTGATTAACTGTTTATATAAATTCACCATGTTTTTTTGGGATTATCCAAACCGTTATATGCATTATGCATATCAGAAACTGGATATTAGGTATGACACTTCAACGGTGGATTATATTAGTGTTTGATGCTCTATTTATTGCTTCTTAAACGAGTTTATGCTCTGGTTTTGCTGATTCCTTTGTAAGCTTACATTGGTGACTTAAATACAACTCTGGAATTTATGTATTATGTCAACAACGATTGATGGTTGCCTATATTTATCTCCATATTTTGATGAAGTAGGAAGTTAACCACATACATAATAGGAGTAAAACAAGTCCTTTGTTAATTGTGCACAACATAGATATTTCAGTTAAAGTTTTGCCTAACAAAGTATGAGAGAATTGCCCAAGTACACAACTAGTGCAGCTATACTAATTAGACACTAATGTTTGTTTTTCCTTTTAACTTGGTTATGCTAAATCAGGTTGTTAGTTTAATATGATTCTCTCGTTTTTTGGTATCACTGATGAACACAGGCTTTATGATATTATTCCCTGCTGAAAATAGCAGTGGAAAGAGCAACTCAATGTGTATCCCACATTCAGCACACTTGACATTGAGGGTTTGTACAGGTTAGAGAACCAATCAATTGTGTAGGTGTAGCCATTGTAATGGTATGGTTCTATAGTTTTAGATATGACTGTGACATCTACATTTTCTTAATTCTACTTGTTTGTAAATTGTAATTAAGCATGCCGTGAAATGAATTAATGTCTATTATATATTCCAAATATCATTAGATATTTAGCAAGATAGCATGTACTAAATAAGTATGTGCATGTTTAGTTTAATTAATTTTGGATAAATATTTACCTGTTTTTTTGTTAACTTCTTTAGAGAGCTTTATGATTTATTTATTTTCAAAATTAATTAACTAAAACAAATATGGACCAAATATGCCCAAATAATAAAGAGAAAATGACTTTGAATAACTTGATGTAAGTTATTCCAAAGACACTGTTGGCTTGGCTATAATGTCTGAATGTAATAGTAAACTAAATCAATATTGATATATAAGTTATTGATATTACTGTTGAGTGAAGTAAATTCTTTGACATAAATTTATCAACTAGTTTCTACAAGTTAGCAATGAAAAAGTAATAATAATTTAGCACGAAAAAGTTCCAATGAAGACAAGAATGTGAAGCCAATGAATACAAAAGATGAAAAATATTAAGATAAAAAATAGAAATACTTATACCTAAATAAATTACACTCTTATGGAGGTCAATAATTACATATTATTGAAAGATTAGTTAAATGATAATTTAATCGTTTCGTATGAACATTTAAAAAATAATAATTAGTTCTTAGAACTAAAAAAAATATTATAGTTCGGTTATTTATCTTTTTATATATTTTTTGAAATTTACTCTCCGTAGTTAGAGTCTACTTACAATCCATGAAATCTAACAAAATGTTCTTTATATCTAAACAATTATATTAGATTATTATTTCTTATCATGATTCATGCATATTAGATTCCAATCTCTACTCTTTAAAATTCTCTTCGTTTTCCTAATAACTAATCTTTGCAAACTCTTCATCTTGAATTTAGTTCTCTTAAAATGAGGGAATTACGCTTTAGATAATAAAATATAATATAATAACCATTAATAAAAAATTAATGATTGATATTATAATTAATTTTATATTTTATTTTGTAAGAATTTGATTTTATAAAAAAATTTAATCGTTAATTTTATAATCAACAATTTTTTAGTGTTAATCTCTAATCACTAAAATTTGCCTAATCTTTCTACTAGCATGGTAATCTCTAAAATTGTTTCTAAATTGTGAAAATTTTAAAATAATTTATTTTTAGTCCCTCAAATTTAAATTTGATCTTTTTAGTCCTATAATTTTAAAAAATCTTATTTTAGTTTTTATATTCAAATTTTGTTAAGAAATATATTAAATATTATCTCATAAGTTCTATTTACTGGTGTTCCTGTAATGAAAACATCATATTAAACTTGACTAATGTTGTATAATTATTTCGATTTGTCATTTCTTGATGTGTTATTAGTGACTTAAAAAATTAAAATAAAATTTTTAAAAATTATAAGAATTGAAAATAAAAATTTTAAATTTGAGGAACTAAAAATTTACAAAGTGATCAATTTGATTAATAAAGACATTTTAAGAAATATCAACAAGTTGTCAATCTGAATGATACTAGTCTTGATTTTCTTAAATAAAGTCTTGAGTTCAAATTTTGTAAAAAAGAAAATATAGTTGAAATATAAAACTTTATTAAAAATCATCGGTTAAATTTTTCGATGAAAAATAATTGTCAACGAAGTCTGGGAATATTTTATACCGATAAGGTAGTTAAAAACATTACGCTTTAAGAAATCTATGTAAAACCTTTTAAATTTAATAAACCTAACATGAAACTTAAGATGAATGTAACATGAACTAAAATTCTATTTTAGTCATTAATATACTTTGTTTTAGATCCAACCGATTGCAAAAGAAAAAATATAACTGAAACTCACAATTAATGTTCTTAAGTTACAAATATTATATACATGTATAAAAATTATGTACGCATTAAAATATTAATTATTAATTTTTTTCATTAACTTCTGAAATTAGTTAGTTACTTTATTTACTTTAAGATAACTACTCTTTCTAAAATTTGAATACCGAGTATATCATTAACTACAACACAAAAAGCTTTTAGCAGTAACATTTGAATAATGTTACATTTTTATACAATTAGGTAATATTTATTAAATATTATCAAAGTAATATTTTTGTAACATTTTAATGATGTTACTAAATTTTTGTTAACTTTATAAAATGATAATTTGTGAGACCCTTCCCTCTTTCTCTTTTTCTCCCCTCATTTTCACTCTTTCACTTCCACTCACTCTCATTTTCCTTTTCTCTCCTTTCCTAGTAGCTGATTCCTTCTTCTTTGTAGTGGCTGTGGTAAGCTTGGTTGCTGAGTAGGTGGAAGAGCTTGTGGACGCACAGATTTCCTTCTTCCTCCTCCGTTCACCATATTTTCCGATCTTCTTCTCCATTCTCTGTGATCCCGAAGCTCGGATTCTTCACCGAGGTAAGGGAAGCTAGTTTCTTTTGTAGATTAATTGCTGAAAATGAGTTCTAGTAGCTCATTGTTGTCTGAACGTTGGATGATTTGAGCTGAGGTTGATGAAAATGGATTTTTTCCGGGGTTTCGGGGTTTGGGTGAAAATTTGGTGATCTTTCCTTGTTTGTGGTTGCATGTTGAAAAAGCTGGTATTTTCGGGTTGTATGATGAAAATGTGATGTTTTGGATCGATTGCATGTGCCTAGGATGTTAATTTTGCAGGTTTTGGTTGAATTTTCGAATTGGGGTGAGTTGCTGTTTGAATCTGCGCTGGGCGCAGTTCTTTGCGCTGAGCGCGACTTGAAATGGGGACTCACTGGGTGAATCGCGCTGAGCGCGGGGAGAACCGCGATGGGCGCAATAGACCTCTGTAGGCCTCTGGTTGATACGCGCTGAGCGCGCATTTGGATTTCAGAATTGGACTTCATAGTCTTCATGAAAGTTGTAGCCTTGGATCTTAGCTTTCCAATGGCTCTAGAAGTGCTTCAGGAGGATGTCCTTGGAGAAGTATTTCCCTGAGAGCGTGAGGCACGCCAAAGAGGCTGAGTTTATGCGGTTACACCAGGGAGGGATGACAGTTTCTGAGTATGCGAGGGGTTGAAATATAAGTGACTAGCTGGGTCGTTACACTTTAGTGGTATCAGAGCAGTTCGAGTCTAGTGGACACTCTTTGGGGGTGGTTCCTTTAGGCTTTTGTTGTGCTGAGCTCTGTGTTGTGCTGTTTTGCTGTGTTGTTTGTTGTGCTGATTGCTGTGATGTTTTTCTGTGCTGTTGATTGTTGTTTGGTTTAGTTATTGTATATTGAAGATGTTGTTACTTTTGTAGACAATGACTAGAACCAATGAGCAGATAGCCCGTGCCATGGAGATGATGGCTATGGCTATGCAACAGCAAAATGCTTATTTTGCTAGGATGGAAGCTGATAGAACTGTAGCTGGTGCAGCAAGGCCCACGGGTTCACAGGAGAGCCGAGATCTAGCTGAGTTTTGAAAATGCCATCCTCCGCAGTTCAAGGGAGAGGCAAATCTAGAGGTAGCTGACCACTGGATTTGTGAGCTAGAGAAAATCTTTATAGTGCTGGGATGTTCTCAAGAGAGGAGGTTGGCATATGTTGTGTTCATGCTGGTTGGGGAGGCTGAGCATTGGTGGAGGGGTACCTGTCACATCCTGACCGCTAGAGGAGTGGTTGTTGACTGAGAGTGCTTCAGGAGGATGTCCTTGGAGAAGTATTTCCCTGAGAGCGTGAGGCACGCCAAAGAGGCTGAGTTTATGCGGTTACACCAGGGAGGGATGACAGTTTCTGAGTATGCGAGGGGTTGAAATATAAGCTGAAGAGGGTGGTGGTGCCTATGGCCATCACTGAGTTTCCGGCCTTAGTGGAGAAGGCGAAGGTTGTTGAGCTGTTGGAAGGTGGTAACCATGTTGTGAAGACTGCTGAGGGACCAGCTGGGTCCAAGAAAGGTGGGAATCAGAGGAAGCAATATGATAGGCCCCAACCACAACAAGGGGGTCCTGTCATTAGGCAACCTTCTGGTGCTGCTAGTGGAGGTAGACAGGGTGGAGGTGCCACTCTGAGATGTTACAGGTGTGCTGGACCCCATTTTGTCAGGGATTGTTCATACACGGAGAGCTGTTATTTCAGATGTCATCAGATGGGTCACGAGTCGGCCAACTGTCCTACTAGGAACCGACCGGAGAGGGGTGATGCTCAGAGGGGTGCTGCCCAGAGAGGCGATGCTCAGAGGGGTGACAGACCCACTACAAAGAGTGTCCACTAGACTCGAACTGCTCTGATACCACTAAAGTGTAACGACCCAGCTAGTCACTACACACTGCACAGCCCACTAGAAACACCACACAGAAAGGAACAAGAGTATACATATAGGGTCTAGAATATATAAGTTTCTGAGTATGCGAGGGGTTGAAATATAAGCTGAAGAGGGTGGTGGTGCCTATGGCCATCACTGAGTTTCCGGCCTTAGTGGAGAAGGCGAAGGTTGTTGAGCTGTTGGAAGGTGGTAACCATGTTGTGAAGACTGCTGAGGGACCAGCTGGGTCCAGTGGTGTGTGTAGTGACCAGCCG